GTACGATTAGATTAGATGGGGCGGCAGCGCACGGCACAGCTCGGGCTCCGCTGACACAGCCGCTCTGACTCACCGGCCCCCGGGGCCGCGTCGGCATGCTGTGCACGGACCAGCTGCGCACGGACCAATGCGCACAGCCTGCCCTTAATCTCCCCTGTATATAAGCCGGCCTCTGCTGCCCTAGGGACCTCAGTTTCGACCTCTTGTCCCTAGGTTAGTAAGCCCCTGTACTTACTTACTTATTCAATACTAACTTACTTGTCCCTAGCCTTAGGTTTGAGCCTAGCTCACCATCGCTTCGGTAAGAACTAAGTCGAACGCCCCCAGCGCCTTGTTTGGTTTTCCTCTGTCGCTTGACCCTAAGTCGCGACATTAGGTCGAAACTCCTCACCGCTGCCGGCGTTCACCGGAACACACTCACTTTCTCCTTTCCTATAGGTCGGGTGGTGCGCACCCTTACTATACTTTACTATACTTAGATAGCCTACGATACATCGCCACCACTTAAGGGACGAACTCTTCAGTATCTGCACTTCAGTGGGCGATACTTGTCCTCACGGACGCGTGGCTTAGGTTCCTGCTGCATACTAGCCAAAAGCAGTACTGGGCCCCACGTGAACTGCGAACCTTAGTGTCTTCTCGGGCGCCGTAGGTGTAAGCTAGTATAGCACGGCCTTTCGTAGTACGCGCACCTCCCCTTCCTCCCCCCATCCATCGTGGCTGCCTGCCAAGGCCAAATCCACGCATTCGACTCTCAGGACCTCATCGACGTCTACATCCCAGACGGCCCTGAGACTGTCCTCTATCGTTGCGAGCAGCAGCCGTGCCCCAACCGGACACCTCGATCGATCGAGGAGGATTACCCTCGCTACAAAGCGATCCGACGAGCGCAACACCCGCTGGGACCCCGAAGCACCCTCGCATCCCGATCTGCCTCGCGGCACTCTCGCCCTGTCTCCCCTACCTCCCGCCTTCCCCAAACTGTCGCCGAGTCCAGTCAAGCTCGAGGAAATCTCCCTCCAGACCCTGCGCCAGAGCCTGAGCCTGAGGAGGGTGCAGGTGAAGAAGGAATCTCGGAGTCCGAGTCCGAGGCTTCTACTGGGTCCGCCTCGCCGCCAGCGCTCGCCCCCGCGTCAGCAGTCCCTGACGTACGTGACCCCCCCGCCGAACTTCCTTCGGCGCCTTCACCGCCGACTCCGCCGAGAGGCCGCTCGAGCACTCGCTCCTCTCGAAGTTCGACCAGCGGAGGGCCACCACAGCCGCCTCCGCCCCCGCAGCGTCCTCCGTCCCCCCCGACGCCGATAATGTCCTCTCCTGCAGCCGCCCCCGACAAGGAGACTTTGAAACTCCTCCTCCCGCTCCGCTACGATGGCAAGACCGTCATCGAATGCAACCGGTTCTTGTCGCAGTTGCGCATCTACTGGCTGGTCAACACGTCACTGACCACCATCGAACTCAAGGTGCAGGTCGCCCTTAGCCTGCTCGATGGAGATGCTCGCGCCTGGGCCACTCCCTACTTTGCCCAACTAGCATCGGTGCAGGTGGGTGTGCAAGGGGCCACAACCCCGTTTGCAAACGAAGCGGCCTTTGCCGCCGCCTTCAGGGCCCGCTTCGGAAATCTCGACGACGAGGCGGCAGCACAAGTAGAGCTGGCGAAGCTCTGCGCGGACAAGTCGGTCCGTGAAAAACGCACTGCCGCGGAATTCTCCGCGCTGTTCAAGGGTCCGGCGGACCGCTCTGGGTATGGGGACCTGGAGCTACGCGACAAGTACCTGAGCGGCATCCCCTCCCGCGTCTACCGCAAGATCGAGCTCGAGACCTTCGCCACGTGGCAAGCAGCTGAAAAGCGCGCCACCGAGGTCGAGCAGATCCTCGATATCAGCCGGGCCCGTAGGCCCGAGCTAAACAACTTCTTCTCGGCCCGAGGTCGAGGACGCGGTGGGGCACGTGGTGGTGCACCCTCGACGCACGCAGCTTCGGCCAGCCTCAACGCGGCCGTCGGAAAAGGAAACTTCCCCGGCACATGCTTCGGCTGTGGGAAACAAGGGTACCGACGTTTCGAGTGCCCCAATTGTAAGGACAAGCCTTACACAAAACGCGCCGACGCGCGGGCTACGGTTGCCTCGGGCTCCACCCAGGCTGCGACAAGCGCCCCCGTCACAACATCACCCTCGGCAAGTATAAGTGCCGCTTCAGCGAAATCCGAGCAATCGGAGCTGGCGGACTTAATGGCACAGGTGAAGTCGATGCGCGAGGAGCTCGAGCATTATCGGGCAATGAAGGAGGAGGGTTTTTGATCCGGTCCGCGCTTCGTGCCGCACGCGTCGGGCCGCGAGTCTCATCTTGTAACAAGTATAATGTATTGTCTACTGCGATGGTGTACGAATTGGACCAGGGGTCCCAACATTTTCACATCCCAGTACGACTTCAAGGGAAAAGACGGCACAAAGACCTAATCGCTATGGTGGACAGCGGAGCCACCACGAAGTTCATCAACAAGCGATTCATTGAAGAGAATAAGGTGCAGACGCGGAAGCTAAAAGAGCCGATTCCGCTCTACAATATCGACGGCACCCTGAATAAGGATGGAAGCATCTCAGAAGTAGCAGTGCTACAGATGCACATAGGAGAACACGTCGAGAAGACGGTGTTTACGGTCACGGACATCGGTCCAGAGGATGTGATCGTCGGGTTGGATTGGCTACGCGAGCACAACCCCGAAATAGATTGGGAGAAGGGCTCCCTCAAATTGTCGCGATGCCCTGAAACGTGTAGCGCCAGGAGGACTGGCCGAATGGAGCAAGCAGCGACTGCGCGTGATACGGGGGTCAGGCCCACGGCGCGCAGGCGTTCGCCGAAGTCCAAACGGTCGGTCATAGGTGCCTGCCGGAGCAAGGTGCTCCCGGACTTCGAACCCGAAGAAGATTCGGCGGAAGTGGAATGGGATGAGACTGACTTGATCGAAGCCTGGGAGCAGGGTATCACGCTTCCCGGCGCCCCTCAGCTGTTCGTCGCAGCAGGGCACACGTATTCCCAGCTGTTCGCCGAGGAAGAGATCAAGAAGAAGGTCGTTAAGACCGCCGAGGAGTCGGTACCCAAACAGTACCACGAGTTTCTGAAGGTCTTCTCGAAGGAAGCATCAGAACGGCTACCCGAAAGAAAGCCGTACGATCATGCGATCGAACTCGTGCCCGGCTACTCCACGTTCCATTCAAAGGTATACCCATTGTCGAGCAACGAGCAGGAGGAACTGGACAAGTTCCTAAAGGAGCAGTTAGCGAAGGGCTACATACGGGAGTCGAAGTCGCCAATCTCATCCCCCTTTTTCTTCATCAAAAAGAAGGAAGGGACGCTTCGACCCGTACAGGACTACCGCCGATTGAACGCGATCACGGTCAAAAATCGTTATCCCTTGCCGTTGATCGCCGAAATGGTGGATAAGCTCCGCGGCGCTAC